GAGCTCACTCATGCACATAGCTGTTGGTAAGAGGCCTCAGAAGATCAGCTTTCAGGCTCACTGATGTGGGTCTCTCCACAGGGCTGCCTCACCACCCCAGGGCCATATTCTTCTAGAGTAAGGGACCCAAGAGAGTGCAGGAGAGCACCCATGATGGAGGCCACAGCCTTTTTATAACCTATTCTCAGAGTGAAGTCATCTCATTTTATTCTGTTGTCAGTAAGCCCAGCTCCTGCTCAAGTGAAGAGGATCACACAGGGCATGAAGACCAGGAGTGAGGGTCTTTAGAGACCATCTTAGAGATGGCCATGACAGATAAGAGACCTGTTCGCTAGAGAGATCATCTGAGCATGAAAGTGGAGGGGCATTGTCCCATTAGACACTGAGCTCATACATGTCTGAGGAAAACTCCAATGGGGGTTGCTTTTTCGGATGTAGAGTGCTATCCCTGACTCCAGGGAAAGAAGAAGGGGTATCTGCATGTACCCAGAATTGGTCTGGGTGCTCAGGGTCAGAATCAGAGCTGGAGTCAGGGCTTGCCTTTCTAACAACTTCACTGAAGGTAATGGGCTAAGGATATATGTGTTGGCTTAGGTACTGCCTGGTCCCATCAGCTAGCAGCATGGTCAGCAACACACACAAGTCTGTAGGTGGGAACCATAACACATCAGAAGGCAGAAGAGAAGAGACACAGGACCTGGATTAGGAAGACCTGGTTGGTGATCTCTTCTTTCCTTTTGTGTAAGATGGTTACAGTCATAGCCCAACGAACCATACCTCCCAGTATCCATGCCCCTGGGTATTGTTCCTCTCCCCCACTGACTCTGGGCTTGCCCATGTGACTCATTTGGGCCAAGTCAACAAGATGTAAGCCCTTGGTAAGTGTTATATGCATGGGGGCTTGCCTTGTGGGGCTGCTATCCTGGGACCATGATGCTAGGAAGACTCCACTGTGAAGAAACAGGAATGAAGTTCCAGCCATCCCAGCTGAGCCCAGCCCCAGCCAACTTACCCTTACGTCCCAGGAAGCAGTCAGGTCATCCTTCTTTCTGTTGAAAAGAACATGTTATCTGAGCAACATGACTATCACAATTAATTCCTTATCCCTATTTCTCTGGTGCCACACTTGCCCTCTGAATCGGTATGCAGAGTGAAAACCCACGGAGACGTGAGGGACAGCTTGGCCATCCTGTTCCACTGCCTGGTAAAATTTCACTCGCTCAACACGTTCCAGCCCCAGCATCGCCTGCTCTGGGGAAACCTCGCCTGTTCTCATCCCAGCGTAGAAGAAGAGAGGATTCAGGCTGCCCCCTTACCCCTGCTATGCCTCATTACTGTGTCCCACTAGGGTTGGCTGTGCCTCCATCCCCAAAACTCAGGTCATGTTAAGAGGAAAATCTTGCTGTGGACATCTTGATGTACTTAGTATGCACCTGACACCTGCTAACATTTGGTGAAGAGCTGCAGAATTCATTCAGCCAGAAAATCTTCACTGAATCCCCACTTTATGCCAGATACCTGTTCTGAGATCACAGCAGGGAGCAAAGACACACATTCCTACCTTCAGAGAGCTCATACTCTACTCAGAGGAGACAATAAACAGAAAATAAGTAAGATATAGAGTATATGAGAAGGTGCTGGATGCTATGCAGAAAAATAAAACCAGGGAAAGGAACAGGGAGTAGCAGTTTCATAGAAGCTGACATTTAAGCAAAGACTTGAAGGCAGAGAGGGATTTAGCCAGGCGGATCTGGGGGAAGAGCGTTCTGGGCACATGAAACAGCCAGCGCAAAGGTCCTGAGGCAGGGGTATGCCTGGTTTATTTGAGGAATGGCAAGAGGGGCAGAATGGTTGTAGCCATGTGAACGAGGGAGTGTCTTTAGAAGATGAGATTGAGATGGTACTGGGGGTGACTGAAGTTTGTGTGGGGCTTTGCAGGGCAGAATAAGGATTTCAGGTTTTAGTCTGAAGAAAGATGGGAAACTGCTTTGGGAATTTTGAGCAGAGGAATGACACAGCCTGACTTAGGCTTTTAAAGGATGGATTTGACTCTTCAGTGAAAAAAAGACTGTAGGCAGGTACAGGTGGAAGGAATTAGGAGGCAGTAATAATACTAAGAGGCCCCATGAGAGACCCTGGGGGCTTGAAGCAGGTAATGGCAAGGGTCAGATGGTGATGTACTCTGAATAGTGTTTTCTCACAGATTCGAAGTGATACGTGAAGGAAGAAGTGAGGAGTCCCAAGGAACTCCAAGATTTGGGGTCTGAGTCACTGGCAGGGAAGACTTGCTGTTGGCTGAGTGGGAGGACGGGGCTGCTCAGGGGCCCTGCCCGGACACGCCGAGTCTGGTATTTCTGTCGGTGGAGATGTCAAGGAAGCCGTGGGGTATTCGAGTCTGGACTCCACAGAGGGCTTGTGGGCCAGAGACAGGAATTTGAAGGAGTTCATAAACTTGAGCACCTGATTTTACTCTACTCAACAGTAAATTGGGTGCAGGGAGAGGCTCTCAGGTGACATATTGGACTCAGTGATTTTCTACCTCGATTTCTTTTCCGGTGCTTACACCAGTCATTTATCTAGAAGACAGTTCACGTCCCATGCTGTTCACCTCTTTGGCATTCTGCCTTTGTGGGCCTCTCCGCTGCTGATTCCATGTTTCAGGCTCCTGCAAGACATCACTTTTCCAAACAGAGATCCCAAGTGCAACAGGAAAGCCAGCCTATGGCCATGGGTGAGTAACCCAGCTCTTGGGGACCGCGGCTTCTGGCTAAGGAGAGGACACAGCGGGCAGAGAGAGGCACAACTGTCCAATCACCGGACAGCAGTGGGCTGCAAAGGGCAGACCTGCAAAAGAAACAAGAGCTGCCCACCAGGCAGAAGCACAGATGACTTCATTCTTTCCAACGCTGAGCTACGGGGTCTTTGCATGTTTATCTTAGAAGCAGAGTGAATGTGTGTCCTGCTTTGCCCAGAACAGCCTGGGTTGGTGTCTTTCATTCCAGCATAATTATAACAGCATCCCCTTTAACTTACAAAATTACTCCAGCTTGAATAATAAATCACATGTTCACCCATTTTTATAAGCTTACCTCTCGACATCTTTTGCCTAAAAAGCCTCCAGCATCGTCTTTCCCTGATAACCCAGAACTTTCTGACTCTTGAGCAGTTATGAATTAACTGAATCTCCATGCACCAACCCTGGAAACAGCAAAAGCATTAAGTTCTCTTCTCCCTGCCACCCCCACTTAGAGGGACTAGGACCAAGGATCTATGCATATGACTCTCCACTTGGGAATCACTGGGGTCACTGTAGCATTCAAGGTCCCTGGACTTAATCTGCTTTGAGTCCAACTCTCCTAAGAGTCCCGGAGCTGACAGTATGGTAAATGGCTCGGGTCACCTATGCAGAACCACACTCCCTGGTTTTATATCTATTCATACCATTGTTCATTAATGAGCTTTCTTTCCAGTGTGCCTGGGTGGCTCAATCAGTTGTGTCTGACTCTTGATTTCAGCACAGGTCATGATCTCAGGGTCACAGGATCGAGCCCCGCACTGGGCTCTGTGCTCAGTGGGGAGTGTGTTTGAGATTCTTTCCTTCCCCCACCCAATGCCTCCCACTCCTGCTCTGTCTCAAATAAGTCAATAAATCTTTAAAAAAAATAACCTTTCTACTCATGCAACAAATACTTATCAGATGCTTGCCCAAAGCATAATAAGGGATACGGAAAAGCTTTATATATGAATCCCACCCTTGGATCTAGCACAGAACATAAACATGTGCAGAAATCATGAAAACCTGATGTAGAAAACGAAATGACAAAAAGGTCCCACTGGGCTGAAGGCAATCCGATGATATAAAACCCTCCGGTCCTTCAACCAACATCTTGTGCGTTGATTATTCGCTCTGCAAACATTTGGTGAAGTGCCATTTACCAAGTGCCAGCCACATGACATATCTCATTTCATCTCCGCAGCCCTACTTCAAGGTCAATATCATTTCAGCGTCTCAGATGGGAAGCCCGAGGCTCAGAGAAACTGGGATGATTTTGGAAGGTCACACAGCTGTGGAACAAGAATTGAAACCAGGGTCTGTCTTCACGCTCTTTCCAGATGCCATCTCCACACAGGGCACTGCGGATCTTTCTTCCCCAGGTCTGCTAAGTGGGATAGTCGTTTCCTCGAAACACACAGGCGAGCCCCTGTAGAAGGACCCACATCCACCGCCTCTCTGGCTAAAAGGCAGAGCTGGGACCAGGGTGAGGAGAATGAGTCACTGGCCTCAGGCACAGGATTTAAGGGGGTGCCAAAAACCTCAGTAGTCAAGATTAAATAATATTTTAATGCAACACTTAAAAAAAATCAAATTGACAAACTACAGTGCTTGGGCCAGCTGCCTGTTTTCATAAGTAAGGATTTATTATACTTCACATGTCAAGACAGGCCCCATCCACCGGCCCCACATGCAGGCTTTCGCTTGCAGAAGAGACTTGTTCTGCTTTTTTAGCCTAGAGGACAGTGTGCTTGTCCATAAATAAAGGTCACATGGGGCCACCCCCGGACAGTCACAGAGGGTGACACCAGAAGGCAGACTGCTCTCTCATTCCCCTTCAGAGCCAGAGCAATCCCGATGTGATTCGTAGGCACGGCCTGGGAAAAGCAGCCAGCACCTGCAGAGCCGGGAGGAGAATAACCAGGAGGCTGGATGCGCCTGGCGTCCCCATTCCCCTGAGGGATGACCTCGCCATGGGCGATGCGCCTAGAGGGACCCGGGGTCGCGTCCCCTCCCCATCAATGTGAAGGGAGCTGTAGCTATTCGTAACACACATATCCTGCAGCTGCCTGGCCCCCCCACACGTGCAATGACTCCAGCACCAGCGCCAAAGCCATTATTAATGGGAAAAGAGAGTGCTGGGGCCCCCAACAACCATTTTTAACTGTGGACATTATTGCTCAATTTTGAGCTTCACCCAGGGACTCGTAAGAGGAAGACATAATGCTTGTTTGTGGAACTTTTATAGCTAATTGACATTTTTTCAGTGCTCCCTCGACAGCTGTAGTTGCTCCTGATTGGAAGGGCAGTGGAAAGCGTCAAGTTGTGTACTGTCTCCAGACGGGGCCATATTTCTGATGTACCGCTGGAAAAAAAAAAAGAATAAATAAAAAGCCATCAAAATAAACATACTCGAAAGCAATAAAGAGGAGCTGAAGTGATTGTCAAAAGTAGTTCTCTTTGTGCAAAACTAATGCATGCTATTTTCATGCTAATTGAGGATGTTGGACCACCTGAGGCTGTCAGATTTCCTCCCCTCTTGGGAACGTTTTCCTCCCTTCTAGATCTGCTCTTTGCTCTCCAGAGACAGGGGAACACAGAAGCAAATTTCCCCTTTCCCCGTCTATGTGCCTCTTCCTGCTTACAGGCTCCCAGACTCCTCATTTGGTGCTAGAGGTACAAGTCAGTGCATCAGGTCCTGGCTGCTCTAAGTCAAGTTCACGAGACAAACACAATTGGAATCAAGCTGAGACATCAACTTAATGCTAGAAATTCCACTTTCATCTCTGGACATGTACAGATTACCCAGGAAGATTAGTAACCAGGATAGCACACCATACACCCATAGAAGTGAAAAATCACTGGGCATACAAGCTAGTTGGGTTTGTATGCATGTATGTATGGACTCATTTACTGTAGGCTTCATTCTAGTTTTCTCGACTCAAAAAGTCACCGATTCACATGGAACGTATTCATTTGAGAACATCATTTTCAGGATAGAACAATATTCCAGATGGAGGCTACCCTCTACCAACCAAGTTTTCTGATTGCATGGATGAATATCACATCTTGCCTATATGGAAGTCTCCTGGCCCATACATTTTCTGATTGGAAACCTATATCATGACAAGTATAAAAATCATAAAATGCAACTGAATGTCCAATGTCCACATATCAAAACTTTACACACTTAAAGCACAGGAGAGCCTATCAGGCATTTATTTGCTCAAAACCTCTGTTCACTTACTTTACACACAGTTCAAATAAACTCAGAGATCAGATTTCTAAGTCAAAACTGCAATCAAGGAGGAGGAGATGGGTTCCTAGAAGCACTGATAGTGGCAGCAGAGAGAAGTGGCAGAGAACAACACCCTGGCAGTAATGGGAAAGATTTTTCCGGGGGGGGGGGGGAGGAGGGTACAGAGGGAGAGGGAGAGAGAGAATCTTAAGCAGGCTCCACGCCCAGCACAGAGCCCAATGTGGGGTTTGATCTCACAACCCTGAGATCATGACCTGAGCCAAAATCAAGAGTCGGTGGCTTAACCACTGAGCCACCCCAGCGCCCCAGTAACGGAAGAGATTTTTAATTCGAAGTAATTAGACATGACAACTCAGTAAGCCCTTGTATCTTACAGATACAAGGCCCCAGGTAGCCCTGTGGGCATTAGTGTAAGATGCCAGAAGTATGACAAGGAATGTCCCAGAGGCATCCAGGAAAAAAGTTGAGTTCTGGAGCTCTGTTTAAGAAGCAGGAAAGGATACATCTCGGAAAAAAGTTTAACTCGAAATGTTCGTTATTCTTGTTTTATTATTATAATTATTAACTGAGGGCAATTAAAAGATAAGCCCTCTGAATCCGACAGGATTCTCTTGGTCTCAAATAAGAGAAACCCACTCAAATGAGCTTAAGCAAATAAGAGAATGCATTAACTCCCCAAGTGAAACTTTATAATTGATCTGGGTTGAGAAATAGGTGGATTCACCTGGTGAAATGATGTCATCAAGGCATCTTTTCATCCAGCTCTCTTCTGAAATTTTCTTTCAGCCAGTCAGTTCGGCACTCCAGTACAAAGAGGGCTTTTTCATCCCGCTGGTTGAAGCATAAATCCTAGCAAGGGTTCTTCTTGGCCTAGCTGTGGTCATGTGCCATCCCCAACCAATCACAGTGGCCAAGGGAATTGGCTGCTCTGATTGGCTAGGCCTAAGTCACAAAGCCCCTCGGGGGGCTGGGGATTGGGGTGGGCTCAGCTCCACTGTAGCATGGGCAGAGAGGAAGGGTTGTGGGCATAATTTGAGGCTGATATGAGAAGAGGGGTAAGGATGCTGTGCTGGTAAAAACAACTGATGTTCGTTGCACTATTAGCTACCATGGAAGCAGTTTTCTAGAATGACTCGATGTCTGAGAGTTTTACAGTCCTGCGTTCCCTAGGCAAGAGACTCTGAGATGGGGAATTAGGTGCCGGTGGTTGCTGCAGGGGTCTCTTGGGACAGCATCGGGGAGGGAGGGAGGGAGGGAAGCTGAGTTGGGCAGAGGGAGGAGTTGGGCTGTCGTGAAGTCACAACCATAGCCTCATCCCAGCCCACAAAGCACTCTAGAGTGCAGAAAGATTTTCCAAGTTACGGGAAACTGAATGAGGCAAGGGGCCAGCCATTTGTACTTCTGGACGAAGTAGTAATTGGACTGCCCCAACAGAAGGGTTTTAGTCAGTCAAGTGCAATTCTTGGGGGAGGGATGCAGCTGAGTGGTTTTTTGTCTTTTTTTCTCCTATGGGATTCTATGAGTATTGGATAATGAGAATAAAGAGTCTCTCTAATTACTCTATAATTTTACAAAGGTAGGAGGAATTTTTTATTTATTTTTAGTGGGAGGAATTTAAATGCTGGTTCTTGGGGCTTCGTTTTAAGAAACTTTTTTCCAAATTTGGGTTACAGTGAGCATACTAATAGCAAAGTAAAGAGGGACACAAGGCTTATATTAAATGAGTTCAAGGACAGGAAAAAGAACAGTTGTTCCAAAGTGAGCCCCAGGGGTGAGCAAAAGTGTGTTTCTGAAAGTGTGTCAAGGGGAAATCAATTTCCAAGAAGAGGTAGGAAATTAAGGGGAAGTCTATTTAAAAACATAATCACAGAACTTGTATAATTTTTTAAGGCTTCTTTTTAAAGGAGAATCACAAAGAAATCCAGAAAATTAGGTATAAAGGAGGGTGGGTGTTCTAAAACAAAGAACAATGAGATAAACATTGTGGGAGAGTTTCTAAGATGGAAAGACAAGAGAAATAGAGACATAAGATCCTCTCCTTTGCCTTCCATTGTTTACCTGCTTTTTGTTTGTTTGTTTGTTTTTAAGATTTTATTTATTTATTCGACTGAGAGAGTCACAGCAAGAGAGGGAACACAAGCAGGGGGAGTGGGAGAGGGAGAAGCAGGCCTCCCGCTGAGCAGGGAGCCTGATGTGGGGCTCGATCCCAGAACCCTGGGATCATGACCTGGAGCCAAAGGCAGATGCTTAACGACTGAGACACCCAGTCACCCCTATTTTTGTTTTTTTTTAATAGGAGTTATTAACCTGGAGTTTGTAACTGAGCTGAAGAGGTTCATGGATACCCTGGGATTGAATATGAAATTGTGTACATTCTTCATCCATGGATCTCAGCAGATCTGTAAAAGTGACCATAATTCCCAAAATGTTCAAGAACCAAGGTCCCAGTCCAAATAATGACTCTAGTTGAGTAAATAGTTGTAACAGAAAGATAAGAGGTTTAGGAAATACTTTTATTTCCTTTTTGAGTAGATTTCTTATTTTTTGGTTCAAAATTAGAAATATATATTCTGTGAAAAGTTTCCATCCTTCCTCTGCCCACATCTACCTAATTTTCCTCCATATAGCAAAGAATGTGACCAGTTTCTGCACAACTTCCCAAATATATCCTCTATGAATCTGTGTGTGTGTATGTGTGTATATATATGTGTGGGCATATGTATATATAGTGTTTAATATATATTGTGTATATATTATATGGGCAAATATACATATAAATGCACAATCATATATATAGTATATGACCATGTATATGCACCTATTACATTATATTATATTACCACATATATTTATGTATGTATGTTTTTACCCAAAGAATAGTGTACTAGACACTATTCTCTACTTTTTTTTTTCACTTAATATATCCCTATCTGGGCATAAGGCTCTAAATAGTCCTATTCTTGGACATACCATAATTTGGCCTCAATGATAACCTCTTGGTTATATAGACATATTTTACAATTATGGCAACTGCAATAAATAAGTTTGACCATGCATAAGTTTGTACCCATAAAAGTATCTGTAAGATAACTTCCTATAAATTGATTAGCTAGGCAAAATGTGAAGTGCATTTGCAGTTTTGTTAGATATTGCCAAGTTGCTCTTTGAACATGTACTAATTTACACTCCCTACAGCTCTATATGAGGGTGCCTATGTCCCCACACTCTTGTCAATAGTGTATTATTAATATACTCTTTATCTTTTCCAGGGTAATAGTTGAAAAAATATCTCAATCAAATTTTATTCACATTTCTCTTATTTTAGTAAAGTAGTACTTTTTCATGTAAGTCCTATTTGTATTTACTTTTTCTGTGAAGCACCTATTTATATACTTTTCCCATTTTTCTATTGCTTTGTAGGAGATCTTTTTTTTGAAGATTTTATTTATTTATTTGACAGAGAGAGAGCACAAGCAGGGGAAGCAGTGGGTAGAGGGAGAAGCAGGCTCCCTACTAACTAAGGGCCCCGATGTGGGGCTCGATCCCAGGACCCTGGGATCATGACCTGAGCTGAAGGCAGATGCTTAACCGACTGAGCCACTCAGGCTCCCCAAGGAGATCTTTATATATTAAGGTAATCATTCATTAGACAGCTGCATCACAATGGGGTTTAGGGGCTCCTGGGTCGCTCAGTTGGTTGAGTTTCTGCCTTCGGTTCAGGTCATGATCCCAAGGTCCTGGGATGGAGCCCTGCATCGGGCTCCCTGCTGAGCAGGGAGTCTGCTTCTCCCTCTCCCTCTGGGCTCCTCCCCCTGGCTCATGTGCTCTCTCTCTCTCTTTAATAAAACAAATAAAATCTTTTTTTAAAAAAAAGAATGGGGTTTAAGTAACTGTCAGAATTATGACCAAAAAAAAAAAAAAAGAAGAAACATAATGTAAAATGTCCCAAGAGGAGTAGAAACATACAACAACAACAAAATGCAGAAAGAATTAGAAGGAATCAGGATAACTAGACTAAAAGGTAGGAAAGAAAAAGGATTCCTGAGAGTTAAAAACGAACTTGGAAGAGAGATACGGAGATATGCTCTCAAATAAAACCTAAGAGATGTGTATTACTTAAAGATGGGCCAAAGACCTGCAACAAATACACCCCCAAATGCAGCAAATAGAGTAGCAATTTACTTATTCACTGGGCAAGTGGCTGTCCTCACTATGGTGATTCAAGGACAAACATCTACACCCTAGGGCTTTGTTGAAAGAAAAGCAAGTATGAGCAGGCACAGCCACTTCTTAAAAGCATTGACCTTGAAATGGTTCACAGCACCTCCACTTACATTCCATTGGCTAGAAGTACTCACAAGTCCACACTGAGCTGGGTTATAAAGAGGCTGGCTGGGTATCCACCTCCCAGCTCCAGCTGCGTTGCTAAGGAGGTGGGGAACAAATTTTCATGGCCAGCTAGCCATCTCCACTACAACTAGTAAGGCAGACACAGGGATAGATCTCCCTGTGATACCCTAAGAAATGGGGACAAAAGGTATTCATAGTCAGCAGAAGCCCTTGCCTGGTTTAGCATCCCAAGATGTAAGTTGTCAGATGCTCATGCCTGACCTGCCGCCGAGAGCAAGGACAGAGCTGTCTGCTGTGTTCCCTGTGATTTCCTCTGTGTCTAGAACAGTGCCTGGAACATTGCAGGAGCTCAATAAAGATCTTTTGAATAAACAATTTTACACCAAACAGAAACAGAAGCTGAGGCCAGAGGGTGGAGAGGTACACTACCTAAGAGTTGTCTTTGCAGGGGCACCTGGGTGGCTCAGTCATTAAGCGTCTGCCTTTGGCTCAGGTCATGGTCCCAGGATCCTGGGATCAAGCCCTGCATCGGGCTCCCTGCTCAGCGGGAAGTCTGCTTCTCCCTCTCCTGCTCCCCCTGCTTGTGTTCCCTCTCGCTTTGTCACTCTCTGTCAAATAAATAAAATGTTTAAAAAAAAAGAGTTGTCTTTGCAGGGAGGATCAGAAGATAGCTCACGGAGGCTCAAACCTCAAGCCTCACCTTGTTCTCCAAGTCCTTTCTTCATCTTGACCCTGGATTTTTTTTTTTTTTTTTTTTTTTTTTAAGCAGGAATCCCACAGCTCTGGCATCTTCTTGCTCAACTTGGAGGACTTCTTAGCATCTGAGCCTGGCTCCACACTTCCAGAGAAATTCAGAGTGGTTTGTTATCAACCTTTCAAACTCCTACTAAGGTCTTCTGTCTAAAAGTCTTGGGTTGTAGTATGAGAAAAAAAAAAATCATCTTAAGTATTTTGTTATTACTTCCCATGCCTTCAGCTACTCCTCCCATTCCTAACCTGCAAAGAATGCAAGACTCACACAGAGCATGTGATTAGGGAGTTGTCATTTGTTTTTTCTAACAGTGTGCACAGCCTTGGGCATGATGGTGTGCTCCAAAGCTATGGCCTCTGACGGAGGGTGCCACTGTCTTGTGCAGGGATCTGCCTCTGAATTTTTAATTTTTCAATTTAAAATGGTATGTTTTACACGGAGGAGATCATTAAAGCTGTATGAAGGAAAACAAAACAAGCCAAGGCATACCTTCTTGTGGGCAGAATTGATGTATGCGGTAATTATGTCAGGGTTTCTGCAGGGGGAGGACCAAATGGAGACATGATCTTGGCTTCTGCTCAGTGCTCTCCTGACGTAGGAAAGCTGAAGCTCAGGGACCACTAAGCATTGATGCTGACCGGATGGGCCTGCTGGGTCAGGCCAGCAGAAAGTGGGAAGAGGGCAGTGGACATTTCGAAGCACATACTGTGTCCAGAGTGTGTTGGATTTCCTGCATGGATCATCACACTTAACCACTG